CAGAGCACTTGATTCATTTATACCAGAACACACAGCTAGGAGCAGAGAAGCTGGAATGAGGACCAGGGTCTGCCTGCCCTGCCCCCCCGCCAGCCCCTCCCTCCCCCCACAGTCCTGCAGCCACTGGCAAATGGAAGTCCATTCAGGTTTGTGAGAACCCTGGCCGGGGGAACAACAATAACAAAAAACAAAAAAAGAGAGAGAGAGAGGAGAAAAAATGAAAATGTACAATTTTTCCTCATTGGATCCATCATAAAGAAAAAGGCTTTGAGATTCTCAACTACATGCAAGGCAGGCAGCTCATGGTTTAACTTAGGTGGGGAAGGGAAGGATGGAGCCAACGTGGACCGAGCACCATCCCAGGGGAGATGCTTCTCAGGGGATCTTGTTTAATCTTCATTTATTCCCCTGCGAAGTGGGTATTAAGAACATCCCTTTGCACCGGGAGGGAGCTGAAGGCTCCTGGGAGGCGCAGAGACTTGCTCTAGGTCTCATAGTTACTAAGTCAAAAAATGTGTCTCGTTTTACTCTTGCGTTTACTTATGGACTTGGCTTTACTGGACTTACCGGGTTTCCTCGGAACCACCCCTGGCCATGAGCTAGAAAAGCTTGCCTTATCCAAGGGGTAAGTGGGTGGGTGTCGGTGTCTCTAAAAGACTGTGGAAAACCTCAGGAAGGAGTCCCTACCTGGAGTTGAGGTCAGCCTGGATTCCATAGTAGGAGGGGGTGGGACATGAGGGTACTGAGTAAGATTGTGACCCCAAGCCCTCAACCGCGTGGGTCTTTCCCCCACACCACCACACAATTTCGTGACACCAGCGGGCGTCCTACAGTTCAGCTCAATTTTGACACCGATTTACTTGGAGACAGTGTGTGAACTCACAGGTGACGGGCTCGGTCCCACAAGACTGCCCCCTCCCCCACTTCGGAAGTCCCAGTCCTCTCCTGTGCTTCTGACCCACCCGCTCTAGATGGAGGTTCCTAGAGTGGCTCACAGAACTCAGAGAAACATTTTACTTACTAGATTAGCTGTCTATCACGTAAGGATCCATAGGCAAGGCAAGGGGGAAAGAGGGGTGGAGTTTCCACACCCTCTCTCTCCAGGGACCCCACTCTTCTCCAACCCCCACGTGTTCAACAACCCCAAAGATCTCCAAGCCCTGTCCTTTTTGGGTTTTTAAGTGGCTTTATTACACAGTCACGATTGATTAAATCATTGCCACTGGCGATTTATTCAACCTCCAAGTCCCTCTCCCGCCGTCCCCAGAGATCAGTGCGTGGGACGGAAGGTTCCAACCCTTTTAGACACAGGGTCCTGCCCCCACCCTTTTGGGTGGGTCCAAAAGTCACCTCATTAACATAACAAAAGTCACCTTGATCTCTCTTATCTGCTCAAAAAATTCCGAGGGTTTTAGGAGCTCCGTGCCCGAAATGGAGACAAAGACCAAGTATCTGTTATTATAAATTACAACATCAGTATCACACAGGGTTACAAATGACAATGTTTTAACTTCTTTTTGTTAATATCAAATTACTTGCCGAACCTTATAAATCAGGAGGGTTCACGTAAAACGCAGACTTACTTTGGCAACATTGGGACTGCATTCTCCAGTGGAGACAATAGGCTGGGACTAGCTCCTGGGAAGTGATATTTGGGCAAGGACCACAGCCTCTGCCACCAGAGAAGCATGGACTGAATTTGCACAACTCCTTGTTGGTACGTTCTCTCCCGTTTTTGTTTTTTAAGATTTTATTTATTTGAGAGGGAGAGCGAGCGCATGCAAGCACGAAGGCAGGGGGACAGAAAGGAGAAACAGGCTCCCCACTGAGCAGGGAATTGATCCTAGGACCCTGGGATCGCCACCCGAACCGAAGGCAGACGTTTAACCGACTGAACCACCCACCCAGGTGCCCCCATCTTTCCTGTTCTCGAATCTCATAGAAATGGAATTGAAAGAGGACTTCAACAACTTCCATTTTGACCTTAACTTTTCTAATTGATTAAGTTCTTGGGCATCTGGGTGGCTCAGCCTGCATCTTCCTCTCCCTCTGCAGCTCCCCCAACTTGTGCTCTCCTTCTCTCTCTGCCAAATAAATAAAATCTTAAAAAAAAAATAATCAATTAAGTTCTTTCCAGCTTATCTCATAACTCAGGCAGAAGGCTGGGCGGGGAAAGCATCCTGCATCTGACCTGACTCTACCCCCTCCAGCAGTAAGCACGACCCTGAGCCAGCAAGACCCCGCCCACGATTGACCCGAAGACACTGATGACCTGACCTTCACTGCCTACCTTTTTTTTTTTTTTTTTAAAGATTTGTTTATTTATTTGAGACAGAGAGAATGAGATACAGAGAGCATGAGAGGGGGGAGGGTCAGAGGGAGAAGCAGACTCCCTGCTGAGCAGGGAGCCCGATGCGGGACTCGATCCCGGGACTCCAGGATCATGACCTGAGCCGAAGGCAGTCGCTTAACCAACTGAGCCACCCAGGCGCCCTTCACTGCCTACCTTTGTCTCACATGTTCCTTATATAAACCTGGAAGTATTTTCAGCACTCTGGAGAAAGTTTCTCTGCCTTTGAAAAGATTTGGTCGGCGGCGAGCGGCCGGACCTGGTCAGCGCGGGGACCCTGCAGCCACACCGCTGTGCCCTGGCTCCAGAATCATAAGGTATGTGTCCTCCTCCACGTCTGCCTCAGCTTCTGAGGTCCATCCGTGGCGGTGCCTGCCAGTGGCTTGTTCCTGCTGAAGACCAGCACGGTCTTCCCCATCCCTTCGCCCGTGGATGAACCCTGGGCCTATCGTGAGCAAGACCGCGGGGCAGGTTTGTGTACAAGTGGGAACGTCTCTTGTCATTTCTCCAGATGAACACCTGAGAGCGGAATTGCTGAGACACAGAGTAGGGGTATGTTCACCTGGGGAGTAAGAAACTTCCAAAAAGTTCTCCCAGCTGGTTGTGCCATTGTCCTCTCCTGTTCTTCACAGCCCCAAGAGAGGGTAGAAAATCAGGGAAACGGTCAGAGGGGATGAGCCTGTGGCCAGGGGGCCATGCCTGGCACGCACAGATGAACAGTCATGTGACTACAGAATTTTGGACTTATGTTTCTGGAACAGGTGGAAGGTGTGGCCCCATTGGGTTTGGGTTCCCCACATTAGAGCTGGGTCATGCCTCTCCCCTTTGGCTGGGACACATGCTCTCCAGTGCACGTCCGCCTGGCCGGCCCGGCTCACCCACGGGCCTCCTCTGTAAGTGCTCTGACCCCCAAACATGCCTGTGGCCCCCCACGCATGCCCAGTGGTCAGGGCTGGGCCCCGGGCTAGAGGAACAATGCACTCCTGTAGCACCCACTGCCTTCCTATGGCCCAGACCACAGGTGCAGGCTGGCCATTCCCTGGCCTCCTGTCTGCTCCCCTCGTCCAGTCCCAGCTGTCTCCTCTGTGTGCCCGCCCTTCCAAGGCAGACTCCCCCTTCTCCCCTGCTCCTGTAGGACTCTGGGTTCAGATGCGAATCCTGCTGTTCACAGCTGGGTGGCCTCGGGCAAGTTACTGGCCTCTTTTTATTTGAGAGCAGGTACGTGCATTCACTTGTGAATGAGGTGGGGAGGGGCAGAGGCAGAGGGAGACAGAGAACCTCAAGCACATTCCACGCTGAGTGCAGAGCCTGACCCGGGGCTCGATCTCACGACCCCGAGATCATGACCCGAGCTGAAATCAAGAGTCAGACGCTTAACCGACGGAGCCACCCAGGCGCCCCGTTACTGGCCTGCTGTTTCAGTATTTCTTTTCCTTCGGTGCCCGGGGCTCTTGGTCAGCCCTCTTTGAAGAGCAAAGAGGTAGACCAAATGAAGAGTGGTGGGCAGCAAAGCAAAGTTTATTGATCGAAGTTTCTCGGTCTAGGGTTTTTAGGAGGTTATGGGCGGGCTGTTTAATCTGCTTCACCCTCCATGCACCTGTCACCCAATCACGTTTTTGTCCACGTGTTCATCTACATATCAGGTAGTTGTTCACATGGGAAAGAGGCGAGGGCTCCTTCTGGGGTGATGTTTCATAGCCTCCGGGACCAAAAGGGTGGAGGTCACCCCTGCCCTAAGGCATGCCAGCCAGCCTTGGGCAACGGATCAAGCTCTTTGTTTAAATAACCCAGTGGCTGTTGAGCTGGCCCCCCAGGGCTTGGGTTAGGCAGCCCAAGGCCATTCCCTTCCTTTCTGGAAAGTCCAGAACAGGATAGGGGGCTTTTTCCTTTTAAGGGTAGTTTCCTCTTAGGACGGGGACCCTAGCCCCTGCCTGCCTGTCTTCCCACTCTCCTCCGTTACTGCCTTTACCTCTCCTTCCTCATCAGTGAAAGGGAGATAGTCGGACAGTTTGTCTTAAAGGGTCGTTGCGAAGACCAAGTGAGCAAAGACATGGAAAGCAAGCCCTTGGAAGGACCGAAGGCACGTGTGTAGACACCGTCACTGGCCTTTCGGAATCACGCTGTGCGGGCGGCTGCGCACCCAGGGCCCAGCTGGGGCTACTGAGGGAGACAAGTGGGCTTGAGGTGGCGGTCTGTGGCGACAAAGGGTGGCCATGACTCTGCTCTGGCCAGTTGCTGTCCTGTGACCATGTGGACCTGGCGTGGCCAGATCTTCAGAATGTCCTGTGAACGTGGGAAATCAGAGCCTTGTTTCAAGTCTCCTGGTTTGTAAATGCTAGTACTTTTTTTTTTTTTTCCCCGTGAAAGCCTTCTGCTGTCCTCCATTACCCGCCTGTCCTGGTGTCATGGGCCCCTGGCCATGGCTGGGTCGCTCCTGACAGCTCCCCGGGGCTCCAGACGCCTTGTCTTTTTTTTGCCCTGCCTTGGTCTGGAGCACACCCAGGGAAAAGGGGCTGAACAAAGCTTGGGCACTGTCCCTGTGGCCGCAGTGGTGGGGCCCTGGCTGCAAGGGCCCTCCTGGGATTTTTCCGCTGTCCCTGGCCTCCCTCGGCAGCATCCCTCCCCCCCCTCCCCCGAGCCGTCCCAAGCCCGCCTGTCCCCAGCGTGGAGGCGGGCCAGTGGAGGAGTGGGTGAGTGAAGCAGGACAGTGTGGGGCTCCGGCTCCCCTGCCTCTCCCTGCCATGGGCCCCCCTCCAGGTGAGGGCCCCCCATGGAGGCTGTGGAGGGGCGGAGCTCAGGGCATGCCCTCCTCCCCACACGGGCCTGTGTGGAGTTCAAGTTCAATGGTTCAGCGCTAGGCCTAGCTGCTCCTCTGCCTGGGGAGATCATTCTCTTCCTCTGGTCCCTGCTGCGGTGAGGCTGGAATTTGGAGTTTGACCCACAAGGAGGCTCTCAGCTGTAGGCGGTGCAGGAGAGGGTGGCCCTGTCCTCTCAAGCTCTGGCTGTGAGGGGAGAGGGAGCCCAGGCATCCCCCCTTCTCGCAGCCCCCTCCTGCCTCCGAAGCCACGGACCGGCCCCGGGCAGGCAAGCCCTGCATCTGGAGGAAGGTAAGATTCCTACCTGCACCCCGCCCAACCTGACAGCCATTCTCCAAACTGGGGAGGTTGGTCTGGGGACAGGAGGACGTGGTGGCAGAGAGGACTCCAGCTGTGAGCAGGGGGCCCCGGGTGGGGGGGCACAGCTCCTCTCCTTGGAGAAGGCCGCCTCACATACCAGGCCAGTGGAGTGCGTTTGGCGGGGGTGGACAGCCAGGGGCACCAGGCATGGGTCCCTGTTCTTCCACAATCCAAGTTCAGAGACTCAGCTCACTGAGCCTCAGATTCTTACCGTTTTTTTTTTTAAGATTTTATTTATTTATTTGACAGAGAGAGACACAGCGGGAGAGGGAACACAAGCAGGGGGAGTGGGAGAGGGAGAAGCAGGCTCCCCACCGAGCAGGGAGCCTGATGCGGGGCTCAATCCCAGGACCCTGGGACCATGACCTGAGCCGAAGGCAGACGCTTAACAACTGAGACACCCAGGCACCCTTCAGATTCTTATCTGTTAAACGGGATTATAAACCCCAGCCCAGCCCAGCCCAGCCTCTAGGTGTGGTGTCTCGGAAGGAGCCAAAGAGAAATGCGGGTGGAAATATCTATGTAACAGCAGAAGGCTGGCGGGATACGTTGCTGCCACCAGGGCAAATCTGAGTTTCACTGAAACGCGCTGGGCACGTGCAGAGGGCTTCCCTTTCCGGACCTGGTCTCACTGGACAGTCACCCTTGTCTCACTGGGACACAGCCACCCTAACTCACAGACGGATTGAAAGCCATTAAGAAACATGCTTGAGTTTGCACAGATCCTGAGTGGCAAAGCCGAGACTCAACCATCAACAGCTGCGAGCTGACCCACAACGTCTGTGTTTCTGATAGTGTTCTGTTGAGTGATCCTGGGGACGCGGAGGAGAGAGGTGCCCTCCCCAGGTCCTGGGGATAGGACTTTGGGGAGGAGGGCCCACAACATGCAGGGGTATATGTATATAGCAAAAGCTCTGAAAATCCCATATTTGTTACACAGATGTATATTGAGTGTCAGCTTTGGGGACACCAAGTGAGTAAGGCAGACACAGTCTCTGTCTTCAAGGAGCTTCCATGGTCTCGGGCACGGGCAATGATGACTTGTACAGATCAGATGTGCTGTTTGTTTCTACAGACAGTGAGGAAAAAATGTTTGCTATGATGGCAGATCACTTAAGGACCTGATTTAGATTGAGGCTGAGAGAAAGCTCTGGGGAAGGGACAGTTGGGTGACATCTGAAGGATGGGTCAAGCTGGTCACACTGAGGCCGTAGGGAAGAGCATTTCAGGCAGAGGGGAATGAATTAGGGGCCATCAGATTCTGGGAATCGAGAAAGAGACACTGTAAATGCTTTGGGGGTGTGTTGGCATTCCGTGGCCGCTGCCGTCCTCAGGCACATGGTAGGTGCTCATGGACCACTGGATGGATGAGTCAGTGATGAACGCAGGACTTCAGGCTCGCGAGTGTCGTGTATGAGCGTCAGGGTGGGCGAAGTGGCCTCCTGTGTGGGATGGGGGTGTACTGAGGTTGAAGAGCATGGTCTCCAAATAGGATGAGTTTTGTTGGAGAGGCCATGTTTGCATTTGGATGCTCTGTTCTCTAGGAAATTATGAGACAAGGTCATCATCGAAGGTCATCACCCCTGGAATTTTCCCTGCCAAGGGTCCATGTGCCAGGCGGTGGTTACGAGCTCAGGGGTTAGGCCTGGGCTGGACCTGGGTTCAGTCATTTACCAGCACTGTGACCTTGGGCCCAGGGCCTCGGCTTTGTTTTCCTCACCTTTCAATGGGGTTAATCCAAGACCTGACCTCTTGGGGTGCTGTGCATTTAAAATGAGATTCACACATGTAGGTGGTCAGGATCTGCTGGACCACAAAGTCCAGGCTCTTTTTTTTTTTGATAACAAGGACAGGGACAGACCCAAGTATTCTAGACCTAATCATGTTATAAAATGAACTCACCTAATGCTCTTAACAAACCTGTGACAGGTCTGATTACTATCTCCATTTTTTTTTTTTTAAGTAGAGGCTTTTTTTTTTTTTTAAGATTTTTATTTATTTGTCAGAGAGAGAGAGGGAGAGAGAGTACAAGCAGGGGGAGTGGCAGGCAGAGGGAGAAGCAGGCTCCCTGCTGAGCAAGGAGCCAGATGCGGGACTCAATCCCAGGACCCTGACATCATGACCTGAGCCGAAGGCAGACGCTTAACTGACTGAGCCACCCAGGAGCCCCAAGTAAGGGCTTTTTTAATGCAGGGCTTGAACTCAGAACCCCGAGATCAAGACCTGAGCTGAGGTCAAGATCAGACACTTAACCGACTGAGCCACCCAGGTGCCCACAGTGTTTGCTGGCCCAAGATCACGGAGCTAGTAAGAGGTAGAGCTGGGATTTGAACCGGGCCATGCAGTTCTAACATCCTTATTAGAGCACATCTCTTTTCTTTCTTTTTTTTTTTTTTTAAAAGTCTTCTTTTTTTTTTTTTAAAGATTTTTTTTATTTATTTATTCATGAGAGAGAGAGAGAAGCAGAGCGAGAAGCAGGCTCCCAAGGAGCAGGGAGCCCGATGCGGGACTCGATCCCAGGACTCCGGGATCATGACCTGAGCCGAAGGCAGACGCTTAACCATCTGAGCCACCCAGGCGCCCAGAGCACATCTCTTTTCTGGAGAGTTTTTGTCTATAATTAAAACTTGTAGTAAAGCTGTCATCTCTGGTCCCTGCAGGGCCCCTCCCTAGTATCTCTCTGTCTCTCATTCTCTGTCCCCACTGATGTGTTTGACATTCTTCGGCAAATAAGCCTGCATCCTGGCAAAATACTTCCGAGCTATTTTGTGTCTTGGAATGTATTTAACATACGCAGATAGTTTTATGCTGTAAATTTTGTTCTGTTCATTTTTCTTTTGTTATGAAATGTTTCAAGATGCACAAAAGTTAAAGAATGATGTTGTACGCCTCCCCGCCCGCCGTGGACGCACACAGGGGAGCCAACCTATGGAACCAAATGCCCCCACCCCACCTGCAGCCGAGTTTCCCAGTCTTGTCCTCGCACTGGGGCGTGGAAAATTTCCACATCTGCTATGGCAAATTATGTAACGGCTGCAAGGAAAAGGGTGAGCAGCCGTCCCTGGGTGCTGAGCTTCCTTTGTTCTCTGGCCCATCGGTGACCGCGAGGCCAGGGTGTTCTGACAAACAAAGCCGAGGTTACAACGCCGGCTTTGTCCAAAGCCAGACTCCCCTTAACCCGGCCCTCCCACACAGGAGGGGAAGCCGGAGCCCACCCCCAGCTTGGCCATCCTGGAGCAGTGCAAGGGCCAAGGGCTGCCTGGGCCGGCGGAAGAACCCACCAGGACAGGGGACCATGCCCGCCTTGTTCACTACTTTGTCCTCTGCATCTAGCACAGAGCCTGCACAGAGCTGGTGCCTAATAAATGTGGAAGAAAACCAGAAGGATGGAGGGAAGGAGTGAGGGAGGGGAGCAGACGGGGAAGGAGGTTGGGAGGAAGGGAGGGAATAAAGACAGAGCAGTCAGTATTGGGTGATGGCAGTGTCTGCAGGTGAGGACCTGGGTTCGAATCCCACCTCCGGCATCTCTGTGCCCTAGAAGCAAGGGGCTAGGACCCGAACCCCGGCTCACTGTTCCTTCTTCATGCCTCCCTTTCGCACCCGTAAGGGGACTGGTAACTCTGTCTGCCTCACCAGGGTGACCAGATGCAGTAAGAGGCCAGCTGTGAAGTGGGTTCCACACCTGGCTCACAGTGCTCACGGAATCGCCGAGAAGGGGCGCGTTCGCCTGTGAGCATGTGGCCGAAGCGGCAGCACCAGGGTTCCCAGCTTCGCTGGTCCCCGCTCCTAGTCCTGCCCTGCAGAAGGGCCAGTCCCTCCTGGCCCCTGGCAGGGCCCCCACCTCCCGGGCACTCAGGAGGAGCCTGGAGTCGGTACCAGTTTGCCCAGAGCTGTGATGAATAGGTTGTTTATCCGCCCCTACCGCCCTCGGTGCCTGGCGGGCAGAGGCCTGCAAGGGGCAGCTGGGGGAGGGGCTGGCCCCACGGTCGGCCCACTGCCCGCCCCTCCTGCCTCCCTTTCAGACCTGCTGGGTTCTAGAACAATCTACCCTCCTGCCCAGTTCAGCATCAATCTCCACCTTGAACTGCTTCCCAAGCTCCTAGCCCTCACCTTCCCCAAAGCCCCCGGATTTGGAAGCAGCAGGTTGAAGTGTTTAAAAACACATGCTATGAAACCATACAGATGTGGGTTCGAGCCCTGGCTTTGGACATGATGCTAAACCTCCCAGAGCCACAAGTTCTCACCTCGCCGGTAATGTGTAGTAACAATACCTAATAGGGATTTCATTCCTGGGATAACCTGACGGACCATCTAGCCGCCTCCTCCCCGAGCCTCCAGAATGTGCCTTTCCCTCCTTTATTATTATTTTTTTTAAGATTTAATTTTAGAGAGTGTGAGTGGGGGAAGGGGCAGAAAGCGAGAGAGAGGGAGAGAGAGAGAGAGAGAGAATCTCAAGCAGACTCTGCACAGAGTACAGAGCCTGTCTCGGGCTTGATCTCTTGACCCCGAAATCATGATCTGAGCCAAAACCAAGAGCAGGATGCTCAACCGACTGAGCCACCCAGGCACCCCTTTCCCTTATGGGCCTCTGTTCACACCCTAGAAACTGCAGCTTCCTTCCCTCTTCCTTGCACAAAGGCTTTGCAAGTGTCTGGTCCAGTTGGGTTCGTCTGGAGCAGGTTATTACCCCATTTCATAGGTGGCAATGATCATGAAATCTAGACTGAGGGGTGAGGGGAATCCCGGCTTCTGCTACTTCTTTCCTCCCGCATTAGGGCACAGTAAGTGTCTGAGCTGGGCAAGCCCAGTAGCAGCTGTCTCCCCTCTCTCCCTCCCTCTCCCCCTCTGCCATCATTCCTTTCCATCAGTGCAGTGGATCCCTGCTTGCTTGGGTCCTCCCTTCCTGGGCGAGGGCCACCACGTCCGAGGCCTGAGCAGCCATGAGCTCCCTTGCAACAATACAAAGCAAGGTGCAACCCCAGGGAGAAGTCCAGAGCTATACTCGGCGTGGGAAGGGAATTCAAGATCCTGGAGCGCCCCCCTGAGGCACCTTGTCTAAATGAACATCCAGCTGCCTCGTTTAGGGCAACAAGACATCTCGTAGCAGGAGCTTGTTAAACATCCTACAGTGCACGGGATAGCCTTCCCACCCCATAACAGAATGATCCAGCCCAAAATGTCAATAGTTTCGAAGTTGAGGGAATTTACTCTAGAAACAAAGAACATCCTGCCCAAGTAATCAGGTAGTTCCGTCTGCGGGAAGCTCTGATCAGAAGCACGAAAGAAGCATTACCCTGTCAACTAATCACCAAGCCTTACTGATTTTAACCCCAAATTGCTTCTCAAATCCTCTATCGCCCCTCTCTCTACTTCATCTCAAGTCTGAGTCATTACACCGTGACCTTCCTGCCCCCCTTCTTGCTTCTAACTCAAGCCTCCCCCACCCCTATCTGATCACACGACTCACTTGTCCTTTAACCTAGAGCATAGGCGTACAGCGGATGCATTGCTGCCCGTTGGGAGATGCACTGAGCATGTATGGGAGCATTTTCGGTTGTGACCATGATTTGGGGGTACAGTGGAGGCCAGAGATACTAGACTCCCCGAAATACACGGAACTGCCCCCATGCAATACAAACTTTCAGATATTCTACCAGACCTTCATGTGGGTGAACAACATGCTTATAACTGAGACTAGAACCTACCTCCAGTTTACATGAAACACAAAATGTTGGCTTTTTTTAAAAAAAATTTTAAAGCAATGAATGTGCCCGCTTTTATCATGACAACATTGTCTCAGATATTTTTCAGAGTGCTTGATCTTAAAAAGATGGCATATCATGGCAATTGCTTGGAATTTTTTTTTTTTAAAGATTTAATTTATTTATTTGACAGAGAGAGGGAACACAAGCAGGGGGAGTGGGAGACGGAGAAGCAGGCTTCCCGCTGAGCAAGGAGCCTGATGTGGGGCTCAATCCCAGGACCCTGGGATCATGACCTGAGCTGAAGGCAGACGCTTAACCATCTGAGCCACCCAGGCGCCCCCCTCTTTTTTTTTTTAGATTTATTATTTGAGAGAGAGCGCACGAGGGGGGAGGGACAGAGGGAGAAGCAGACTCCCCGCCTCCCCACCGAGCAGGGACCCCAATGTGGAACCCGATGCGGAGCCCGACCCCAGGACCCCAGGACCCCGGGATCATGACCTGATCTGAAGGCAGACGCTTAACCAACTGAGCTACCCAGGCGGCCTGGACTTTGGGGGCGCCTGGCTGGCTCAGTCAGTAGAGCATCTGACTCTTGATCTCAGGGTCATGGGTTCAAGCCCTCCATTGGGCATGGAGCCTCCTTAAAAAATAATGAAATCACGGGCGCCTGGGTGGCTCAGTTGGTTGGGCGACTGCCTTCGGCTCAGGTCATGATCCCCGAGTCCCGGGATCGAGTCCCGCATCGGGCTCCCTGCTCAGCGAGGAGCCTGCTTCTCCCTCTGACCCTCCCCCACTCATGTACTCTCTCTCTCTCTCATTCTCGCTCTCTCAAATAAATAAATAAATATTTAAAAAAAATAATGAAATCACAAAGTATGCTCACAAATGCAAGCATTTTGGTGTATATACACTCGACCCTTGAACAACATGGGTTTTAACTGCATGGGTCCACTGACACATAGTTGTTTTTTTTTTATAAATACTGCGGTACTGTAAATGTATTTTCTCTTATGTTTTTTAATATTTTATTTTCTCTACCTTTATGGTAAGAATACAGTATATAGTACATATAACATACAAAATACGTGTTAATCAACTGTTATTGGTAAGGCTTCTGGTCAACACTAGCCTATTTGTAGTGAAATCTGGGGGAGTCAATAGCTACCTGTGGATTTTCGGCTGCACGGGAGGGTCAGAGGCTGTTCAAGGGTCGACTGTTCAGTTTCTTTGCTGGTGTTCCTTTGCAGATTCACTTTTTATTCTGAGTTTGGGGAATAAAATGGCTTCTGACTTTATTTCTCTTAAATTCAGAACTTACTCAGCATCGTAGGTACAAGTGTGTGACTGCCTCTTAGGGTCTGCCCGTGGAGTGCGACAGAATGCAATTGCATGTTGATGCATTCATCATTTTATCATTAATTGATTTCCTTTTATTTCTCATGGAGTTAGAGCATCGACTTTTTAAAAAATTATTTATTTACTTAATTTTCAATCTTTTTTTGTAATTTCTTTTTTATTTAATTTTTTTGAAGATTTTATTTGAGAGAGAGAGATTGAGAGAATGAGTGGGAGGAGGGGCAGAGGGAGAAGCAGACCCTCTGCTGAGCAGGGAGCCTGATGCAGGGCTCAAACCCAGGACCCTGGGATCATGACCTGAGCCGAAGGTGGATGCTTGACGACTGAGCCACCCAGGCACCCTACTTACTTACTTTAGAGAAAGAGAGAGAGTGGGGAGAGGCAGAGGGAGAGACAGAATCTTAAGCAGGCTCCACACCCAGCATGGAGCCCGATGTGGGGTTTGAGCTCAAGACCCTGAGATCATGACAGGAGCCGAAATCAAGAGTCAGCTGCTCAACCGACTGAGCCACCCAGGCACCCCAGAATCTCGTGGTTTCTTAACTGTGACATGCTTAGTCACACCTCAGTGTGTAGATGCTGTTGTCTTGGCCTGGAATGCTCCCTTATCCCTGCTCTCACATCTAGAACCACCGACTCATTCTTCAAAACTCAGCTTTAAAAAAAAATTTTTTTTTAAGGTTTTATTTATTTATTTGACAGAGAAAGACACAGCGATAGAGGGAACACAGCAGGGGGAGTGGGAGAGGGAGAAGCAGGCTTCCCGCCGAGCAGGGAGCCCGATGTGGGGCTCGATCCCAGGACCCTGGGATCATGACCTGAGCTGAAGGCAGACGCTTAACGACTGAGCCACCCAGGTGCCCCAAAACTCAGCTTTTATGCTACTGTTTGGATCTCTTCATTCACAGTGAGGTGGTCTTTACCTTACTCACTGAATCTTGTAGAAAATCCTGTTAATCATGATAATAATAGCAGCCAAAATTTATGGGGCACAACTGTGCAAGCGGTGCACCCAGCCCTTCACAGGTATGAGCTCACCGCAGTCTCTCAGTACACACTCTTATTGCCCATTTAGAGAATTTGTCCTGGTTCTCAGGATTGCTCAGTGGTGGAGCCAGCTCTGTGGCTTCTAAGCCCCCATTCTTAACACATCTGCCTCTAAGCACCTCCCCTATATGGAACATCTTTATGTTGTTATCTGATGAGTGAATTTCCCCATTACTGGGCTGCCCGTGGTAGAGGTCAGGGACTGAGTCTTTTCATTCCCAACCCCCTAGAGTGGAGTCACACATTAACACAGGAATAAGTCAATGCCTAAATCACTTATGGTCAAAAATCACACTTGGGAATTTTATTAGTTAACAATTACCAGCAGTGTAGCCGCTTGAAACAACACAAGATTATTATCTTACGGTTCTAGAAGTCAGAAGTTCTAAGTGGGTCTCACTGGGCTAACATCAAGGTGACAGCAGGGCTGAATTCTTTTTGGATGCTCTAGGATGGAACGCATTAATTTGTGTTTCCAGCTTCTAGAAGCCGCCTGAGTTCCTTGGTTTGTGGTCCCTATTTTTCCATCTTCAAAGCCAGCAACATTCGGCCAAATCCTTCTCACACAGTCATCTCTGGTTCTCTCTTCTGATTCCCTTTCACTTTGAAGGACCCTGTGGTTGCATTGGGCTCACTCAGATAATCCAGGAAAAAATCTGCAAATTTGGTTGTCCTCTGGCCATGTAACTAACATATTCACAGGTTCTGGGGATTAAAATGACACATCCTTGAGGGGGACATTTACCTGCCTACCACAGAAATCCCTTAAATTACACACAAATGCAGGATACTGAGAAACAGCTTAGGATAGTGGTTCAAAGTATGGATTCTGGAGCAAGATCGTTTGCCTTCAAATCCCAGCTCTGCCACTTGAGCTGTATTACCTTAAGCAAGTAACTTAATTTCCCTGTGCCTCAGTTTTACCATCTGTAAAATGGGGATGATGACAGTAGCGCTTACTAATAGTAAACACTTAGAATGATGCCAGCACTTAGGAGGCGCTATATGTTTCACTAAATACATGCAATTTTATGGGCCATCCAGCATTGGAATAAGACAGTAGTGTCTAGCTGACCCTCAGACAAAATGGTCAGCTTGACCTTCACCCAGCTCAGAGGTTCCTCAGAAATGGGGGTAACTCAGGTGTCTTGCTTTACTTACACTCTTGGAGTGGGAAGCCATCTGTACTATTCATGCTGTTTATTCTTTTTAATATTTTGCCAAGTGAGTGACTGAATTGCTAAAAAATCAGCAGCTGAGGGGCGCCTGGGTGGCTCAGTCGTTGGGCGTCTTCCTTCGGCTTGGGTCATGGTCCCAGGGTCCTGGGATCGAGCCCCGCGTCGGGCTCCCTGCTCAGCGGGAAGCCTGCTTCTCCCTCTCCCACTCCCCCTGCTTGTGTTCCTGCTCCGCTCTCTCTCTCCCTCTGTCAGATAAATAAATAAAAAATCTTTAAAAAAAAAAGAATCAGCAGTTGATTGAATGTGACTTCACTGTATTTGCTGAATGAATGAGTGGGAATGGATGGACGGACAGATGGGTGGGTGGCTCTGCCTTCCCGGGGGACGTGTCCCTACCACACATCCTCCCCCCTTGCTGTCCTCTGGTTTGGGTGCTCCGAGGAGGCAGCCGCGGAGAGGGTGAGAAAAGCGCCTCTGGTTCTGGCATCTGATGCACATTTGTACTTTCCGCAGGAGTGAACGTTTGCTCAGGACCATGGAGAGCAGCTCCAGCAGCCCTCAGCCCACCCAGTCAGATCCCCTGGAGGCTTTTCCCCAGAGGAACCTGGAGCCAGGTGACATCGCCGTGCTGGTTCTGTACTTCCTCTTTGTCCTGGCTGTGGGACTATGGGTAAGCCAGGCCAGGGAAGGCAGGGGAAGAAACTCGCCCAAGGTCATCAAGTAATCTGAACTTGACACTTGTAAAAACGGACCGAGTGTGGATCATAAATCAGGTGCTGTCTTAGGTGCTTGCAAATTTGTGTTACCCCATGTACTTTGCACAGATGTCTACGAGGAAGACACTACTACTGTACTCATTTTATAGGCAAGGAAACTGAGGCTCAAAAATGTAAGCTCCTAGGGGCGCCTGGGTGGCTCAGTCATTAAGCGTCTGCCTTCGGCTCAGGTCATGATCCCAGGGTCCTGGAATCGAGCCCCACATCAGGCTCCCTGCTCTGCGGAGAGCCTGCTTCTCCCTCTCCCACTCCCCCTGCTTGTGTTCCCTCTCTCGCTGTGTCTCTGTCAAGTAAACAAATAAAATCTTTAAAAAAAAAAATGTAAGCTCCTTGTATGTTAGTTAGTTAACATAGCTGGAATTAGAAGCCATATTTCCTTCACTTTGAAGGTCATGTTCTCTTTTCTTTTTTAAAGGAAGGTTTGTTTTTGTTCTGTTTTGTTTTGTTTTTTAAAGGCAATACAGCCTCATGGTTCAAAAATAAAAGCAACTTAAAGTGCCATACAGTGAAAAGTCTCACTACTACACTTCCCTTCACAGGTAACTACTGTTGTTAACTTGTTCGCACGTTAGTTTGAGTTTCCTTATGGAAATCCAAGCAAATATTATTGTGTGTATTTACCTCTTTCTTAAATGGGAAATTGCTTATTATACACATTTTTTTAAAAGATTTTATTTATCTGACAGAGAGAGACACAGCGAGAGAGGGAACACAAGCAGGGAGAGAGGGAAAGGGAGAAAACAGGCCTCCTGCAGAGCAGGGAGCCCGATGTGGGGCTTGATCCCAGGACCCTGGGATCATGACCCGAGCCGAAGGCAGATGTTTAACGACTGAGCCACCCAGGTGCCCTACATGTTGTTTTTTCACCTTGCTATTTTTCACCTATCATAGTCTCTTGGCTATTTTTTCATATCAGTACATAGATGCTTCCTCGCCTTCTTAAAAGTTGCACAGGATTCCATGAGATGATCGTACCATGATTTATTTAGCCTGTCTTCTTCTGAGGGTCATTTGGATTGCTTCCTATCTTACTGTCGCAAACTATGTTGCAGTCAACAAATCAACAAATCTTATACACTATTTTGGATGTGTGCAACTATAATGTAGGATAAATTCCTACAACGTATGAGGTTGTCAGACTGAAGGATGTAGGAGTCTGTAATCATTGAGACCTGGGTCTGAATTCCCCACCTTTCCGCTATCTAGAAATACGGCACAAGATAAGTAACTTTGCTTCCAAGCCTCAGGGTCTTCATCTGTTAGATTGTGGTCTAATGACACCAACTTCATAGAAGTTGGTAGGAATTAACATGAGATGAGCTCTAGAAGCTTAGCGTGGTGTCTACCGGCTCTGTTACTGTGATGCTACGCTGCACTGATACTCAGGAAATGGTGCCCATCATGAGCTCTCCTACATAAGCCCTGGGGTGAAAACTCAAATACGTAGGTGAGCCGTAAGTATGCGAAGCAGGGAGTGGCAGGGGTTGTATTGACCCGAAGAATTCATGTCTCCTCTAAAGCATTCAAATTAAAATCCTCTTAAACCATGGGTTTAAAAAAAAAAAAACCTGAACTATATTTGATGTCCAAATCTGGCCTGCTGGACTCGCGGTTGGTAATCCATGGCTCAGGAGCTCTGGGATGCCTCTGATTGTTACCTGCCCTCTTCTTTGTTTCAGTCCACAGTAAAGACCAAGAGAGACACAGTAAAAGGCTACTTCCTAGCTGGAGGGGACATGGTGTGGTGGCCAGTAAGTGATCTTTGATTCAATTAAAGTCACTTCTCAAAGATTCTTCGAGGGCTGATGTTCTGTTTAGCCTTGGGTCTCGCAGGACTCTGGTTGTATGTAGTGTGAAAATCACGGTCTAGAGAAGGCTTAGCTCCAATGCAAATGTTTGAACAAAAAAGATTCATCAGCTCACCCAAGGGAAAAATCTAGTTAGGCTGGTTTTAGGGATGGCTGAGGGCAAGGGTTCAAGTGATGTCACTAGGACCTGGTTTCCCTCCCCCCCCATCCCTTCTTTCCTTCTTTCCTTCCTTCCATCTGTCCATATCAACTTCTCTTCTTCTGGATGGGCACTATTCCCAAAAAGGGCCAACTTCATGGCAACAAGATGGCAGACACTGCTCCAGACTTTTCATCTTCTCAAGTTCAGTCCAGTATGGGAAGAGCACCTACCTCCATGGCAGTATCCCCAGAAAATATCTTGTCTCTGATTGTGTCCCATGCCCACCTCTGTGCCAGTCTCTATCAATCCTCCTGATTACATAAAAGAAAAATTCACAGTTTGGTACTAATATATCTTTATCAACCTTCCATCACTGGCTAATCTCTATGTTTAGCCAAGAGAATGCAGTCCTCAGTGATCGAAACTAGCTAGGATTTAGTAACAGAGATGGTGTCCCAGTTCCAGATTCCCAGGAGAGAAAATGTAATTGACCCAGCTTGGGCCAGGTGCCCAGGGCTGTCTGGTCCAATCAGTTGAGACCAGGGACTGGGATCATTGAATATAAGCTTGGCCACTTAGTGTTCTACCAGGAGGGCTATTTACATTGCTAAATTAGAAGCAGAACTGGAATAGAACACAGGCTTCCTGATTCTCATCATGAAGCACCTTCCACAATACCCGTCATCCTTTTCCCTGGGGATGCTGCATACAGTTGTTCATGTTGTGCACTGCACAACCCTATGGCACACAATTCACATTTTAGCCATCATAAATATACATGTTTATTATGCCAATTTCTGATGGTTGGAAGTAAGAGTCTTGGGGAAGAAGAATCTTTTTCTAATTTGAAAAAAAAGGTGCCAGATAGGCTAGGGATGGCCCTGCCTCCTCTACTTCTCCTTCTGTCTTGGTCCCTCTGGAGCATGGGAAGAACTGAGGGTGGGGAGAAGGTACCATAGACCATCCCGCCAAGATCTGACTTGTCCATCTCCTAACAGGTGGGCGCATCCTTGTTTGCCAGCAACGTGGGAAGTGGACATTTTGTTGGCCTGGCAGGGTCAGGAGCTGCTGCAGGCCTTTCTGTCACTGCTTATGAATTAAATGTAAGTATTTTACCAGGGTGGGTACAGCTCACCCTTTGCCTACTAGGTAGATCCTGGGGGACAGTGTGAATGCCCCGTACTTTCATTTATTTCTTTTTGTTAAAGATTTTATTTATTTATTTTAGAGAGAGAGAGCGAGAGAGGGAGCATGAGTGGGGGGAGGGGCGGAGGGAGAGAATCCCAAGCAGTCTCCATTGCTGAGTGCAGAGCCCGAGGTGGGGCCAATACCCTGACCCCGAGATCACGACCTGAGCTGAAACCAAGAACTGGACGCTCAACTCACCAGGCCACGCAGGCGTCCCTTCCCAGTACTTTTTAAAAATAGAGTTGTACTTCACGAGAAAACAAACAAGCACCAAAGGCACCGCTGGTCTGCAAAAATCAGTTTGATCTGCAAGCTTCAGGCTTGTCTGGGTTTGCTTGATCCTGGGACCAGAAGGCTGGGACCCCAAAACACCAATGTGTGGGAGAAGAGGACTCAGAACCTCTCCCTTGTGGATGCAGAAGATAGAAGGACCCGAGGGATACCAGTCGGCCATCACAAAAATGTAGTTCTGTGGTTCAGTGGTTCTTGACCTTCCTGGCACCCCACAGATACCCCAGAGATAGGACACACTGTCTTGTGTAGCAGGGCTCGTGCAGGGTATGACTTTCACTGACCGGGCAGGCATGCACTCTTAGTAGTGAGTTTCGTCTTCACAGTGACTAACAGTTTTTTTTAAAAACAAGCTTAATTTTTAATTTATTTTTAAGTCATCTCCATGCCCAGCGTGGGGCTCGAACTCACTACCCTGAGATCGAGAGTGACTCACTCCACCCACTGAGCCGGCCCCTTAGTGACTAACATTTTTAAAATGCTCATTCTGTGCCGCACACTTAAGTACACTATGCATATTACTGTATGATGGGGTTCACTTAGGGAGCCCATCCTGGCTCAACGAGGGAGGGCCCACGCCTGGATGAAGGGGGATGACACGAGGTTTTGGGGGACATTGAATGAGGAGTCACAGGAAAGCTTCTATTTCCACGCTTCCCTCCTTCTTCCCCTTCTCCCATTATCAGTGTGGGAATATGATAGCCCGGGGAGGATGAGGTACTGAACTCAAGACGGAGCCAGGCCAGATGACCTCCAAGTGCAGAGGGAAATCCAAATCAGCACCTCAGTGTAGGTGGGAGCTGAGTCCTGACTCTGTTTTCTCGGGCAGGGCCTGTTCTCTGTGTTGATGTTGGCCTGGATCTTCCTCCCCATCTACATAGCTGGGCAGGTGAGTCAGGGTGCTCTGGGATGGGGAGACCATTGGGGAGGGTCACCCTCGAGTTCCCTCCCTCCCACCTGAGGACATCCGTTAGCCAGTCCCTGGGAGCTCCTTGCATGGTGAAGGATGCTGCACAGGGGAGACCGGGAAGCCCTGTCCTCAGCACCTCCCACCTCCTGACCCATGATGAAGATGGGCACAGGCTTTCAGATGTTTCAAATGTTTCAGAAACATTTTTTTCAATGCCTCACACAGTGATAGGTGGGTATATCCGCCTGCACAGAACCCCAGTTCCTCCACACCCCACTCCTCTGCCCCTGTTTCCTCCTTCCTTCTTCTTCTTCTTTTTTTTTTTTTTTTAAGATTTTATTTGAGAGAAAGAGAGAGTGAGCACAAGCAGGGGGAAGGGCAGAAGGAGAAGCAGGGTCCCCTCTGAGCAGGGAGCCCGATTCAAGACTTGATCCCGGGACGCTGGGATCATGACCTGAGCCAAAGGCAGATGCTTAACAGACTGAGTCACCCCTCTGCCCCCATTTTCTCCTCCCTTCTTAAGTCTATGATTAAGAAGACCATCAGTGCTGCTGAGTTTGGAGAGGAAGGGGGAGGGGAGGGGAAGGGCCAGTGCCCTGAGGCCATTTGCCCCAAATCAGGTGGGTGGTGACAGCTCAGCTCTGGCCCCCAGGTCACCACGATGCCAGAATACCTAAGGAAACGCTTTGGCGGCAACAGGATCTCCGTCATCCTGGCTGTGCTCTACCTGTTCATTTACATCTTCACCAAGATCTCGGTAAGGCGGGGACACAGCCTGGCCACGTCCTTACAGCCTGGTGAGAAGATCGATTACAGCCATTGGTAGTGGGTCCTGCCCATGCATTTCCTTCCCTTGGGCAGGCTTCAGGGAGCTTGGAGGATGGGAGGGGTGGGGGAAGAGGAAGTTGGGAGAAAAGGTGGAGGGAAGGACACCTCTTTCCACTCCTGCTTTGGCAACATGTCAGGATGGTGCAGGTCGCACAACAGGACTCTTTGAGAGCCCTGCCAGGCCTTGGTGGGGGGCTCTTCTCTTCCTCCTGGGATCAGGCAGTCATCAGGTATTCATCAGGTATGCTGAGGCCCATCGGGCCTGCCCCACCCTGGCCTTTGGTTGGATGGGCAGATCTCCAGAAAGAGGCCAAGAGCAGATGCATTGCAGCCTCCAGGCATGTGTGCTTAGCTGGCCTGACTCACGCTGATGCTGTCTCCGCTTCCAGCTGGGGCTGGGGAGAGCTTGCCCCAAGTGGGGGGCGGGTGCAGAGAAATTCCATTCAATCCAAACAAAAATAATGGACTCTACACCAGCTGCAGGCTTGAAAGACGTTCGATGACAACATCCTTTCAGAACTCTGCCTCTCAGTCTGGTGGGAAGCTATAGATGTGGGGAAGCTTTCACAGGGGAAGTTATGACCGAGGATGATTACCAACTGGGGAGAGGGGGACTGGCATTCCAGATGGATGGACAGGGCTTGTTAGGGAAGCAGGGAATGTGAAGGGAGTGAAGGAAATGAGGCCAAGGGGCGAGCAGACTGTGAAGCCTGGCATGCAATTCTAATGTATTTATGTAGACGTTATCATGGGGGCCATGCAGCGGGGGCACTGAAGAATTTTAATGAGCAGGAGAAGGATGTTTGATCATGACAGTATTTGATAAAGGTTGCAGTGTTGAGGGTGGAGGGTGGAAGACCAAGACTAGAAGCAAGAAGACCACTGAGGAGGTTGTTGTATTAGCCCAGTGAATGGGTGTCAAATGTAACAGCCCACAGGGCTCCAGTTGGAGAACCCTGATCTGGGAAGAGGTGGTTGAAGAAAGGGCAGTAGAGAACTCTTCCGTGTTTGCCAGAATCCAAGCTTAGTGGAGCCTGTGCTGAAAATGTCCCTCCTTTCATTCATCCGTCAACTTCCTGTCTCCCCAGGTGGACATGTATGCAGGCGCCATCTTTATTCAGCAGTCTCTGCACCTCGATCTCTACCTGGCCATAGTTGGGCTGTTGGCCATCACGGCTCTGTACACTGTTGCAGGTGTGTCTGAACAAGGCGTGATGCTTGAGAGACTGGCCCACCCCCCCCAATCTTTTCCTGGCCCATCTTCTGATGTTCCCATGTGTTAAAACCATTCATTTATTACACCTCACTCCACGACCCCAGACAAGGTGATTTCTCTTAGCCATTGTCCAAAGGAAGAGGGTTTCCCAATTAGAAGGAGGATTTAAAAATGCACCACAACTGCATCAAGCTATTTTCCATTTGTTTATTGAAGAACTATTTACTGAGAACTATCAGTGCATGTTTATTCACATGCACCCTGTAAAGCTAGGTGGTAAGCGGCTCTAATTCTGAGCCTGAGGTCGGGCAGCCTCCTCTTTCCCCGTTAGAGCTGCATTGTAGGAGAGAGACTGGCCTATAGTAGGGCCGGGACAAGTATCTGGTTTGGAATATTTGCCTTTTTATCTTCATTCTGCTCCAGCTTCACCCTTGTCTGCCTCCTCTTGGTGTAATATAATCCATTCCGCAAATATATCTGTATATTACCTAGCATGTGCGAGACATCGTGCTAGGAATGGGGCAGAGCAGTAAACAAAACAGACAAAACCTTTACCCGAAAGGACTTTATATTTTAATGGGGAGACAGACAACGAACAAGGAAATGAAGATATTTCTTGGTATATCATGGTATATCAGGATATATTAGTATAATCTGATAAGTGCTCTGAATGAAGTTTAAGCAGGGCAAGACGGGGAGTGATGGGATAAGGAGGTTTTTTTTTTTTTTTCCCACATAGAATGTTCAGGGAAGGCCTTTCTAAGGTGATGTTTGAACCACATTTAAATGATACGAAGGAAGCTCTAAGGAGAAGTGCAGGGGAAGGGAATTCCAGGCAGAGGGTACATGTAAGGACTCTTAGGATGAGAACATGCTTGTTTGGGGAACAAAAGGGCGGTCACTGTGGCTGATGCTGAGCCAGCAAATGGTGGTTCAGGCCGCATCCCGCTCAGCTCCGGGGGCCGTTCGCACAAGCCAGAGAGGGATGCAAGGCCGGGCACCGTGTGGTAGAGCAGCCCTAATGAGGGAGGAAGACCAGCCACCAGTGCCTCGCAGGAGACAAAATGCGCCTGGATTTTGTTCTAAGTGCCGTGGATCTCCACTGGAGGCTCTAAGCGGAAAAGCGACTAAATCAAACATATGCAAAGATCCCCCGAAGGATCTTGGGGGGGGTCAGCACTCACGGAGGCCCTGTGCCTGGAGCCCAGGGAAAGAGAAGGGTGAGCGGCAATAGCCGGTTTATCTTTGTGTTTCCTTGTTTGGGGGTCTCTGTCCCCATTACACTGATCTCTCTGAGGACCGGGGACATGCTGTTTTGTTTGTCTCTCTTTCCCTACCACGTAGAGCTGGGCAGGGCGCTCACCAGAGATTTGGTGAACAATTGAATAAAACACTGAACCCAGTGTCGGGCGCATGATAAATGCTCACACTCGTCAGTGTGGAGATGATGCTGGCTTTTAGTGGGCAGGACCTCGCCGTGCTCAGGCCGGCTAATTGCAGCAGAGGGCTGGGGCCAGAACGGACCCTGGGCCTCTCTCCGCGTTTGTGACGGGGCCCTGTTCCCGCTGGCAAGGAGGGAGAATCAGAGTAGAACACCACAGCTCTGTGCACGGTTTTGGTTTTTTTTTTAAGATTTTATTTATTTATTGTCAGAGAGAGAGCATAAGGCAGGGAGAATAGCAGGCAGATGGAGCAGGGAGCCTGATGCAGGACTCGATCCCAGGACCCTGGGATCATGACCTGAGCCGAAGGCAGTGGCTTAACCGACTGAACCACCCAGGCGCCCCTCTGTGCACGTTTTTTATTGCACACCGACTTTGCCCACTAGTAAACGTGCTCATATCAGAGAAGCATCTCTTTCCCCTTTGGGAAGAAGGAAGAGGGAGGTGTAGTACAGAGAAGAGACTGGAAAGATTGCCCTGTCCAGGTGCCGGCAGACTTGCTGCCATTAATTATATGGCCATGATCAGATCTCACCGGGCTCCGTCAAGAACAGGAGGTTGATGACATCTGGAACGGCTGCCTGGGGCAAGGTGGCCTCACTCGGGCGGCTGGTGGTTGGCATGGGCTCTCAGCTGGGCTTCCCCCCACCCCGTGTGAACCATCACCCTCCGGGAGGCGAGCATGGGCTTCTTAAAGAAGCACGGTGGTCTCAGGACAACACGAGAGCAAGAGCAGAAGCTTCTGGGCCCTTGAGGCTTAGGCTTCGAGCTGCATAGTATCACTCCCACCATGTTCTGCTGGTCAAAGCAAGCCATCTGGCCAAGCTCCTCGTTAAGAGGTAGAGAAATCAGCTTCACCTCAACATGGAAGGAGCAGCAAAACCACAGTGCAAAATGTGCATGCGCTCAGGAAGGCGATACCGTGGCCATCTTTGCAAACAACACTAAGAAATCTCCTCAGGCAGGGCTTGAACTTGCAGGTTCTGTCTGCTCCCCAGGGTAACTCCTCTCCACCATGGTACCCGACCCTCACCTCGGTGCTTATCCCCACTCCCACCCCCAGGTGGCCTGGCCGCTGTGATCTACACAGATGCCCTGCAGACCCTGATCATGCTTATAGGAGCGCTCATCCTGATGGGCTACAGTAAGTGGGGCCCCAGGGTCACTTGGGTGGATGACAACCCCTCTCTCAGGGACATCTGCTTTCGTCACTGTGATCAGCAAGCCCAGGGTCAAAAGCATACCACGGGGGCATTCCAGTCATGGGTGATTTGCTTGAGACATGGTTCTTTTAGCTGGAAGAGAACTGGGCTTATGGAAACTTATTGTTTTGTTTTGTGTTTTTTTAAGATTTATTTATTTTAGAGGAAGGGGGAGGGCAGAAGAAGAGAGAATCTCCAGCAGACCCCCTGCTGAGTGAGAAGCCCCATGTGGGGCTCCATCCCACGACCCCAAGATCATGACCTGAGCTGAAATCAAGAGTCAGCCTCTTAAGCGACAGAGCCACCCAGGTGCCCCTGAGTGGTATATACTTCTCTATCATTTTACCTTGAACCTATCTATGTCTTTATAAACATAGATATGTGTTTATACATATATATGTATATATTTCCTATTCTTTATATTTTAAGTGGGTTTCTTGTCGACATCATATAGTTGTATCTTACTGTTTTATCCAATCTGACGATTTCTATCTTGTCATTTGCATCTATGGGTCAATTATATTTATGTACTGATTGATAGGGATGATTAAAACCTACCATCCTGTCAGCTGTTGTCCATTTGTTCCAAATGTCCTCTGGTTCCATTTTTCTTCTTTTAAAAATTATTTTGGTGGGGCGCCTGGGTGGCTCAGTTGGTTAAGCGTCTGCCTTCGGCTCAGGTCATGATCCCAGGGTCCTGGGACCGAGTCCCGCATTGGGCTCCCTGCTCGGCGGGAAGCCTGCTTCTCCCTCTCCCACTCCCCCTGCTTGTGTTCCCTCTCTCGCTGTCTCTCTCTGTCAAATAAATAAATAAAATCTTTAAAAAAATAAATAAATAAAAATTATTTTGGTGTTGGCCCTAAAGTTTACAATGTTCATCTCAGTCTTCCTTCTAATATTATCCTACTGCTTCATGTATCCTTTAAGAAGCTTACAATATTACACTCCCAGATGCTCCCTCCCGTCTTCTGTGTTATCGTTATCATACATTTACACATGCCCTAAACCCCGATGCCCTGCTACAAGTTTTGCTTTAGACAGTAGATTATCTTTTAGAGTGATTAAAAAGAAGAAAAAAAGCCTTTTGGGGCATCTGGCTGGCTCAGTTGGAAGAGCATTCGACTCTTGATCTTGGGGTTGTGAGTTCAAGCCCCACATTGGGTGTAGACATTACTTTAAAAAAAATCTTAAGGGCTGCTTGGGTGCCTCAGTCGGTTAAGTGTCTGCCGTTTGCTCAGGTTGTGATCCCAGGGTCCTGGGATCGAGCCCCGCATCGGGCTCCCCCCGCATCGGGCTCCTTGCTCAGTGGGGAGTCTGCTTCTCCCTCTCCCTCTGCCTGCCACTCCCCCTGCTTGTGCGCTCTCTCACTCTCTCTCTCTCTGTGTCAGATAAATAAAAATCTTTAAAAAAGAGAACAGAAACCAAATTGTTATTACGGGGGAGCCTGGCTGGCTCAGTTGGTGGAGTGTGTGACACTTGATCTCAGGGTTGTGAGTTCGAGCCCCATGTTGCGCATAGAGAGTACTTAAAAATAAATGAATAGTTATTAGACCTGCTGCTCGGTCTTACTGTTTAATGGAGCAAATAACTACTAAGCCACAGTTTTTGTGTTTTGATGATTGCCGTCACTATATCTGTTTTCCTTTATAATCCTATGTATTTTGTATTATGCATTGGTTATTAATATTCTGAGAAGCAATACATAATCACCACCAAAGGCATAAAAACAAGGCCGAGAACCTTTAAGGTGACTAACTTTCTTTGTTAGCGCTGCTCGAAGTAGGATGTCACCCATCCAGCCATCCCCTGACCACTCGCCATGGATTGCTCTGAGTTTCTGGCAAATTTGGGTTTCCTCTATGTCTTAGGTTTTGCTGCAGTTGGTGGGATGGAAGGCCTGAAGGAGAAGTACTTCTTGGCCGTGGCGAGCAACCGGAGTGAGAACAATAGCTGCGGGCTGCCCCGAGAAGATGCCTTCCATATTTTCCGAGACCCCCTGACATCTGATCTCCCGTGGCCCGGGATCCTACTTGGAATGTCCATTCCATCCCTCTGGTACTGGTGCACGGATCAGGTACAGGGCACCTGATGAGGGAGCGCCCTCCAGGACGCTTCTTTGCTTGGGGGGCTGGAGGCTGGGCTGGTTTCCTTCATCTCTTCTCTTGTTTGCTTCCGCCCCTCCCCCGCAAGCTCGACTACTCCTTCTTTCCTATTGCTCTACATTATTTTACTTCTTGAGCTTGCTCATGTAATGGCAAATCCAGAGCTACTAATATTTGCAAAGGGGAACTGTTTTTTGTTTGTTTTTAAAGATTTACTTAATTATTTTGAGAGAGAGAGAGAGCAGGGGGAGGGGCAGAGGGAGACAATCTCAAGCAGACTCTGCTCAGCGCAGAGCCCGATGCCGGGCTTGATTTCACGACCCTGAGATCATGACCCGAGCAGAAGGCAGACGCTTAACGACTGAGCCATCCAGGTGCCTGAGATGATACATTTTAAATGGAGTTTAAAATTGATATCGGGTATCATTTATCAACAAATACTCACTGGGTGTCCTCTGTGTACTAGACACTTGGAAATCATGAGTACACACATCAGACAGGGCTCTCTTCTCTCCTGGAGCTCACCTTCTTCTAGTGGGGGGCAGACAGACAATAAGTAAATTATGTGGAATATTTAAAAATGATAAATGCAATTTTTTTTTAAAGATTTTTTTTTT